GTTGTCGTCGAGGTTTTACGCGATTCTAATTGTATCGTAACATACTTCGGAGCGTGTGCAAGCACGTACTCCCTCATCTGTTGTGTTAATGTCAGTTGCTATTTTTGAAGAGTGGCTAGTATGACTCTGTTTATGAGTTATCAGTGCCCCTATTCTAATCATATCATGCGTCCGACGTGCTTTCCGAGCTTCGCTTATGATATCCTACTCTCCAAAATTAGATTTGATCGCCTTTGGATCATCCCCCGTAGTGATGTGAGCCTAGCGAGTGCCTCTTGAGCAGACACTTGTTAAATTCACTATTATTTTCTTCACAATGGATCAATAGGCAGAGCAAGTGGTTCAAAAGTGAAACACGTAAAGAGTGAATGTAGCGTTTGATTTGCAATGGTGATAAATGGTATGTTTTTCAAGGCCCGGTGCGCGAGTTTTTTCGCTCGACAATCGTGGGAGGCGCATACAACACATAACGCACACTCGCTCACATAGACAGCCAAACCGCTGTAGGTTACCTGAGTTGCGCAGTTGAAAGCCAACAATTCTCAAAGTACCGCATCTTCACCTTCATCAGCTGTTGTTTAGAGACCGCACTCATTGGCATCATTTCATACCCCTCACCATGCAATTTTGGATCGTCTCTATATTTACACGTCCTTCGGTTCCCCCATATCGTAACTAGCATCACCAATGAACTCAATCGCTGCCTTTGATCACAACACGTGCACTGCCCCTCGTGCTTGATATGTGTGTGTGTTTCAGATATAACGCACTCGGATTATGCAGTGTTAAATTAATAACCACGATTCTCACTAATGCTGCGCCACCTCGCAATCTCATTAATTTATTCAATTATCGCGGATATACCAACTGAGACTCAACGCTGCCGGCACTCATTCGCACCTCGTCGTCGTGTGCTCTAACACGAACTTCGTCGTTCACACATCTCGCTCATCCCTCAAGGGCCGAGCGATTGGCGAAAATGTTGGACGCTATTAGCCGAGCAGCAACGCAACAACTTCAGTTCAAAATAGTTATGCGGAAATCATCAGCTGATCATTGTTGGCTTCTTTTCTATACGGCAATCAGCGCATGTATATACCTCTAAGCTGCGTCACTGTTTAATGTAACTTGGCTAAACACTACGCCAAACATTTTGACTTCGTCCAGTAATCTTTGCAAGCGCTATAGCGTATAGCCTTTACAGGGGAGTTTCTAGCTGTTTATCTTAGTTTTAAGATTTTTTCCTTGAGACCCAAACTCTATGACTTTTCCTTCTATTATGCGAATGAATCCAATTCTATTAGTTTCTTTGCAGTGCAAAACCAGAAAAGATTAGTTAATGTTTGAGAATGACAACAAGATTGTTTCAAGTGTGATCTTCTTGAAATACTTTCACCGCAGTCACTGTCACATCTTAATTCGGATTTGATGAAGAGCTAGATTGGAAAGGTTTCAACTAGATAATGGTTTTTGTAGATTTATTTAAGGAGTTTCTTCTCCGATTCAGCTCATTGACAACTTTTTCCCTGGGAAATCAC